GGCAGAGAGAGAGAGGAGGACAACAGATGACGGGCTGTGACTAACTATTTCGTCTGAGTTTCTCCGACTCATCAGGAGGCTGAACCACTATATATATATATATATATATATATATATATATAAATATATATATATATACACATATATATATATATACAGAAAAATAAACTGAATAACTTTTGCCTCAGGTCGACATCGAAATTCTTCACGACAATTTATATATAAAGAAAGAAATAAAAAAACAATTTTTTTTTTTTTTTTTTTTTGGCTCGGCCGGCCAAGTGACCCCGGCCAACTGTTGTACCATAATATATGTATATATATACATATATATATATCGGCAAACATAACTGGCCAGTAAACCGTAGATGGAGAGGGAGAAGAGGACAACAAACGAGAGCCTGTATATATATATATATTGCAATCCCATCATTTTTCATAAGAAGCCTTGACCAGTGGGCCCGAACAACACTCTGACGGGGCCCAAAAAAAAAAAAAACGCGCAGTAAGAAACGCCTGGACGCCGGTTACCATACGGGGCAATTTTGTTTGTGACTATATATATGACTATATATATATGTATATATATATATGTATATATATATATATACATCGTTAGAAACTAAACTGCCCGGTGAACCGTAGGTAGCGAGAGAGTACAAGACAACACACGAGTCATACATACAGATACATTTGTCGCGAGTCGAAAATTTATATTATATGTCTATTTGTATATAAATATTGTATTACATAATATTTTATTATATATAATATTTATGTACAAATATACATATAATGTAAATCTTCAACTTTCGATATATATATATATGGTAACCGACGATCGGGACGGGTCGTTCGGGGATGCGCTCGGCCGTTCGCGGGCCGAACACGGACCAAAAAAAAAAATACGTGGGCGAGCACGTTTTGACACGGCCATCTATGGCGATTTGTAATTCTTATTTGGCTTAGCCAAATGACTTGACGTCTTACATGCATGTACGTCACGTCACAGAGAACTCGCAAAAAAAAAAAAAAAAACTCAGAAAAAATATATATTTTTTTGTCCCCGAAACAATTTTAGGCGGGGGCCGAATGTCGTCAGGTTCGGACCCCGTAGGGGACCACGAACGCCCGACATACGGAGGTCTGTTTGGGGAACTCCGTACATACGGACTGGTGACGCTATATATATATATATATATCATCACAAAAAGAACAGCCCGGTAAACCGTAGGCAGAGAGAGAGAAGAGGACAAGAAACGAGGGGCTGTGATGAAACTCCGACGAAACAGTTTGTCACAGCCCCTCGTTTGTTGTCCTCTTCTCTCTCTCTGCCTACGGTTTACCAGGCAGTTCTGTTTGTGACGATATATATAGTGCATGAACGGTGCGCGACGTCATCCTCGACCCATAATGTGTGATGTGTTCACGACTCTTGTTTTTTGTTTTGTGTTTCCAGATATCACGTCGCTCAGTCTGTGGCTGTGTCATGAATCCTCATGATGACCGAAAAAAGTATTCGCTCCGTGAGCGTATGCGCCATCTGCCACCATGCATAACGGACGGCCTTGACAAGTCAATTGCAGAAGGCAATGAAGACAAATATGACCTCAACGACATAGATAAACATATAGAGGATGTGACAAACGACCTCAACAACGCATGTGTTGTGCTATCGACATTGTATTCCTGGGTGCAAACAATTGTGTCGTCCTTGCGGAAAAACAAATTGGAATTGGATAACCGGGAGGCTCTTTGCACAATACATGAGCAACGGCTGTTGTGCGAGGAGGGCAAGCCACGTGTCGATTCCACTAACCATTCCACTCCGTTCCTTGTGTCGTGCCGCGACATTCATGGCTGCACTGAAGTCCAACTCGGTTTCTCTTTGCCATAAGCTGCGACCTCCCTATCACGAAGCACGACCCAGACGCCCGACTCAGTCAGTAAATCCCGGGACAACTATGGGTCGTATGTTTCCGTGTCGTGTCGGGGTTCGGGTCAGGACGAGGAGCATAACTCTGTTGGCTGAGAAGCACGAAATTCTCAAAAGTCAAAGAAACAAAAACAGTTCGGTCGTTGTCCCGGGCCCTCGAACTTGGACTCGTGGATCTAGATAAAAGCCTAGTGCTCAGAAATAACAACCTCGACGATGTTGGAGTTGTAATGTCAAAGTTGGAGCCTCGAAACGGTGTGTGGAGGCTTGTCGTTTGTCCGCTATACTCTATCTGCAAGATCGAACCTTTTTATGGATATTTGATTCCCATGTTCTGCGCACCGACACTGACTTCCACCGCATCTGTTGCAGATACTCACGACGTGACACTATAATGGAGCAGCCACAACCTCAAGCACCCATCAATGAAGATGATGGGGACATGTTGTACGGCCGTCGACCAAGACATAGAGTTCTGCGCGGTCGAGGGGGCCCCGGGCTTGGGCCAGCAGTCGTCGCGGCACGTCGCCCACGACCTCCTCCCCCGCAAATGAACGAGGAGAAATACGAGCAACATGGCTGCATCCCGCATTTTTGGTTGAGACCGCAGTACAGATTGTCGGCGAGGAGTACCGCAATGAGCAGTTTTTGCATATCCTCGTTGGAAACGATCAATTGGACGTGGCGGCTAACTGATTCGCAGGGTACAGGGAGTTCACAAACCTCTGCGGTTACACTCGTCGTCGAGGAGGCGATGCGTATGAGGTGGCCTAACGCGCATAACGATGGTTACGTCGGCTTTATTCCTGATCCACGCGCTCCGACCGAGAATGATAACCCTCGCCGTGGGTAAATGCTAGAGAGAGAGAGAGAGAGAGAGAGAGAGAGAGAGAGAGAGAGAGAGAGAGAGAGAGAGAGAGAGAGAGAGAGAGAGAGAGAGAG